AAGGAACCCATCGCCTTTTCCAACTTCATCAGGCTCATTGGCTTCAAATCCAGCACCTTTCCCTGCTGGTGCTCGTGACCCTGGCATGGCTTCTTTTCCAAGAGGGATGAATCCCACTGGTGCAGGTGCAGTTTCTTTCCCAAGGCCTGGTGGCCTTTTGGGCCCAGGCCCAGGGCCATCTCTGAACCCTAGGGCAGGGGCTCTTCCAGGTCCAGGGCCTCTGTCTAACCCAAGGTTAGGGGGTCTCCCAGGGCCGGGTCCTATGTCCAACCCAAGGTCAGGTGGTCTCCTGGGAACGGGTCCTGACCCCAGAAGTGGCGGCCCTATGGGCCCTGGGCCTGGGCCCAACCTGAGAGCAGGTGTCCTGTTGACCTCTGGGAATGGTCCTCCTAATCCTAGGCCCGTTGGCCTGGGACCAGGACCAAGTCCCAATCTGAGGTCAGGCTTCGTTGGTACAAACCCTGCCCCGAGGTCGGGTATGTTTCCAGGCCCGGGCCTTGGGCCCAGCCCAAGAGCAGGTGGCCTGGGCCCAGGCCTTGGACCCAACCCAAGGGCAGGTGGCCTGGGCCCAGGCCCTAATGTGGACACCAGAGCGGGTGGCCTCCTGGGCACAGGATCTGGTCTTAATTTAAGAATGGCTGGACCTCAAGGCCTAGATCTTGCCCCCATTCTAAGAGCAGCAGGTCTTTTAGGAGCAAATTCAGCTGCTTTCTCACAGGCTTCTGGAAACATGGGCACGAGCCCATCCTCTATGGCAAGAGTACCTGGCCCCATAGGCCCAAACTCGGGTCCTGGCTCTCGGGGTATTGGCCTTCCAGGGCCAAATCCATCCATGTCCAGGGCTCCTGGCCCCATAGGTCCTAATTCAGCTCATTTTTCGAGGCCAGCTGGGCCCATGGGGGTAAATGCTAATCCCTTTCCAAGGGGGACAGGTTCAGGGGGCCTGAATCCAGCTTCCTTCTCTCAGTCCTCTGGCACATTGGCTTCAAATCCATCTACCTTCCAGAGGTCTGCTGGCCTCCAGGGCTCAAGTCCAGCAATTTTCCCAAGGACCTCTGGGCCACTAGGCCCCAACCCAGCTAACTTCCCAAGGGCCAGTGGCTTGCAGGGTCCAAGTCCCGCTGCCTTCCCAAGGTCTACTGGCCCATTAGGCCCTGGTCAGGTTACTTTCCCCAGGTCAGCTCCTGCACCCCTGGGCTCTTCTCCAGCAGGCCCTGTAGGTATCAACCCAGCTCCTTTTGCAAGGCCGTCTGGGACCCTGGGTCTAAACCCAGCTTCCTTTCCAAGGATGAATGGCCCTGTAAGCAAGACTTTGGTCCCGTTTCCTAGAGTGGGGAGCCTCCCTGGCACAAACCCAGCTGCTTTCCCCAGACCAGGGGGTCCAATGGCTGCAATGTACCCAAATGGAATGTTACCCCCTTAAACACTGTTTTCTCTCCAGGACCACTTTGGTTTTTAGGCACCATGGTTCTGGGCAGGGGCTGTGTTACAAGTAAGGGTAGATGCGGAGCTACAGTCTGAAGTACATAGCTGGGGCTCAAGTTCAGATGAGCCATCTTTTTCCTCTGCTTTCTTGACTGAAGGTGAGATGTTATATGTGGGAGATGGATAACGGCAGGTGGGAATGATCCTGACCTTGAGAGAAAGGATCTCCAGCTCTCCAGAAGCCTGCTGTGCTTTTGTCCCACAGCTTTCTGCCCCTTGTTTCTTACTAGTTTCTTGAATTGTTCATGTGGACTTTTCCTCAGGGATACATTGGCCTGCAGGTCCCAATTCATATGTAGTCCCCTGCTCACCACTGGAGAATCCGCTCACTGCTCTCTAGAAATGTTGCATTGGTGAACAGACTGTGCTTCAGCAGCTCGGACCTGGGCGTCCTCTACCGCCATACCTTTCCCTGGGGGCTTGACCACCACAGAACCGGGAGGTGGGCAACCACTTCAAGACCCACCAAATACAATTTCTGCTTGATTGACTGGGCCTGCAGCTTCCTTCTCCTGGGACTTTGAGGAGGCCAGAATCAAGGCTCCACCGCTCATCTAACTCCCTCTCCACTAGTACTCCCGATCAAAGAACCTCAAAATTTAAACTGACGTGGATGGGAATTGGGGTGGGGGGGTGGGGGGATAAAGGGGAGATATCACTGTGCTTCGTTCAGCCTGATGTGAAAGGATGGTTGGTGTTTTTCCTGCTTGTATCTTTTCTTACCGTTTCTTTAATAAATGGGGTGAGAGGGCTGCCGATGTCACTCCACTTCGTTATCTGTTCCCACAGGAATTTTACCCACTGCTTTTCATTGTTGCAGCTTGGCCACAATCCTACGTTCTCTGCCAGGTAAAACGTGGTCACTCAAGCAGGAAGCAAGCGTTGACTTTTAACCTTAGCTAGGACTCAATTCATCTGCCAGTGATTTCACCAGAGACCTTGCCCATCCTCAACAATAATAAAAAAAGTTAAGCCACCAGAGGTTGTGCAGTTATCAATCAAGTGGGCCTGCTGTATGCCCCAGGTCCAGAGGCAGCTGTGACTACTTACCCTGTTTGAGTTCCACTGCCAACTACCCTGACAAAACTATTTCTACTCAAGTACCTCTTTTGAAACTGGAATAAAACCAGTTTAAGTACAAGGAGGAAGTTCAGAGATAACCAGCATTATGTGAGAATCTTTATTTTGACAAGTGTATAAAATACTCGACCTGAAAAGTAAAAAAAAAAAAAAAAGTAAAAATAAATACGTTTACAAATCATTGTAGAAAGAATACAAAAGGGTTAAAATTCTCAATGAGGAAAAAACCAAAATGTGTCCAGTTGTATAAAGGCTCTTCCCTTGCAAGAAACGGGGATAAAGCTGAAGACCCAGTTTGGTTTCGCTGCTGAAAAATATACAAAATAACTTAGAAAAACCAGTCGAGGTCAAACGTTGTGAGCCCACTACTTGTACCTGCCTACTCTTGATTTGAGCTAGGTTGATAACCACAGTGCGAGGCAGAGCTGAATGTAGGACAACCAGGAGTTCTCCATCCAGGAGTCTATCCTACCTTAACCTTCAAGTAAAAGCTGAAGAAAAACAAGCCCTTAGTGAAGTCTGAGCTCTGCAATTGGCTGACCGGATTTCCTCCATTGTAGTGCTCAAAATAGTTTACTTGGCCCGCAGAAACACGGAAGAGCCTGGAACAACTGCCTTTAGCAAATGCCTGCAGCCTCTTCCCGGCCTTTGTGGGTCGGGCCCAACACCAGCCAGCAGTCTTAACCAGAGGCTCAGGGTCTGTGAATCAGCAATGTTGGCTGCACCTGGAAAACCCTTGCGTTCATGGGAGATGAAAGAAAGCACCAGGGTTTGCCAGCCTGTGGCTCAGAGCACACTTGGTTCCTTTGTAGGGAGCACCTGGGCACACTAGAGGCTTGCCCCCTCAATGACTGTCTACCTTAGTGCTGGTTCTGAGGGCTTAGCAGGCCCTGCCAAGAATGGACATTTGGAGAGCGCAAGCAGGCACTCGTGCAATCAAGCATCCCCTAAGTCAAAGGCTTAGTCAAGATCCCAGGTTTCAAACCCAAGAGCGGAGAATAGTCTGTGGATTGCAAATCTCCAGAAAATGCCTTCTCTCACAACCCCCAACAAGCAGAAGAAAACTAAAGCTTCAAGGAGTATGAGAGAGAAAGGAAGAACCTTAGGATTTAGGAACCAATTCCATCTCTGAATTTGGTTTCTGGAAAGAAGCAAGCAAGTGCAATAATGACTATCCACAACTTGGCTAAGAATTCCCTGGAGAAGCCACTGAGGAGAATGGACAGTCTCAAAGACGACAAGTTTGGATTTGAGGCTTCACTTAGGGAACACTGAAAAGCTTTTCATTGGAGATGATTGTCAAGAACTGTAGCCTGAAAGTCATGCACGCTTAGCCAGCTGCTAAGGAATCTGTTCAAGCAGTTCCAAGATTGTAGTTAGTTTGGTCAGAGGCTCCTAATCGTTTTTGCCCCCACTTGCTGAGGGGAGGGGTGCCTATAGCAGAGGGGCCTGGGAGAGCCCAGGCTCTGTCTCAGTGACCACCTTGAAAAACTTCCCCAATGAGAAAGAGGGTGGGAGAGGTGACTGCATCACCTCGAAGAAAGCAAAGGAAGGAGGCTCTCTTCGACTCACAGTGGAGTTTGAGAGAGGAATTCAGGAGTATACGGGGTCAAGTACCTGAGCCCTCACTTCCTTTCTGAGCATGTTGGGGTTTCATCTTCCTGGTAGGTGACCAAAACATTTCCTCTCCCCAGCAGAGATCACAGACAAGTTCATCTAGATGTCGGGCAGTTTCCAGGTGAGATACATTCGGCCCAAGGCCTCCATATAGCCCCTGGCCTTTAGCACCACCACCAATCTTTGTTCCTCCTGGCAGACTTTCATTTTTAACCTAGATATATATACACACACTCAAAAGCAGTTCAGTGCTAACTCCCTGCTAGTTTGGTTCATCCTTGGGATGTTGAGATGTGGAATGGAGTATGTCACATAATAAAGCACCATTCCTGGACCCTGTTTTCTCATGCCCAAAGATCAGGCTTCTGGGCCTTATATTTCAGGCACAATCTTATTGCATTGATAGCTAGATGTGGGGGGGGGGGGTGCGGGACACATTACTAGCTGGTCCAGATCTCTCAGGAGTTCTCCCACCACCTCTGGTTGTGTTCAGATGGTCTAAGAGAATTCTCCCTTGCCACAGGCTGTCACTTACCTATCAGAAGTTGCCATTGATTGGAACTAATTGGTTTAGCACACTTCTGGGTTCCCCGTGGATCCTGGGGGAGGAGGTGGAATCTTTCCCAGCGGCCACCACACATGCAGAGGCAAGCAGATGGGTGGCGTGAAAATAGCCCTCTGAGCTGGATGGCGTTGCTTCCTGTAAGAACTGCCCCAGACCGTATAGTACAGGCACCACTCTTTACACTGCAGATTTGTCCTATGGACCATTAATAAACTAAAACAGCACTCCCTCCTCCCTCCCACCCCATCTTTTCTCTTCCATTCCCCTTCCCTCCCTTACCCATTGCACTTGTCCCACTCTGCTTGGGGGGCTGTGTCACACCTCAGCAAAAGCTAAGCTGTACTGCTCTGGCTTCTTCCCACATCGCCGGGCGATTATGGCCAGATACAGCATGAGGAGGGCCACCCAGTAGCAGCCGTACAGGATGGCCCCAGAAACCAGGAAGGCTAGCTCCGTCTCACTGAACAGATCCTGGCAATAAGCTGTGTAGGCCAGCCCCCCTAGAAGGACCGCTACCCAGATGGACACAGGGATGAGGCCAATGAAGTTCACCACGATGGTTTTTCGGCCAGAAGTGCCCCAGCCAGACTTGTTGATGGTAGCAATGGCAAAGATCTTGGCTGGCAGGAGGCTGGACATATAGAGAAGAGAATAGAGGGACATGAAGATCATTTCTGCATTGCCCCGAAGGAAGCAGGCATAGGTAGCTTTGATAATGCCCACCAGCTGCACTGTCAGCAGGAAGAGGAGAATATTCCAGATGCGGCCTCGGTAGAAAAGCTGTATGACCGTGGCAATGAGGAAGAAGGGGAAGAAACCTGTGACCACCGATTCGTAGGTCATCCAGAGGTGGTGCTTATGGAACCAGAGAGAGTTGTAGAGCCACTCCCGGAAGTAAGACTTGCTCCAGCGCGTCTGCTGGTTGAGCCACCGGAGGTACTTGGTGGGGGTCTCTGTGAGGCACTTGGAGCGTGCTGTATACTTAGTCCGGTAGCCGAGGCTCAGGACCCGGTTGGTGAGGTGGCGGTCATCTCCAAAGCTGCACTTGCTGCCTAGGAACTTCTGATGGTACCAGTCCTCCAGGAATTGCTGGAGGAGGCTGTTGCGGTACATGCCCAAAGGCCCACTGATGCACTGCACACAGCCAAAGTAGGACTGACAGGCCCGCTCCACATTGAAGGCCATCCAGTACCGCACACTGCTCAGGAAGGAGATCCACGAGTCATACTTGTTGAGGATCTGCAAGGGAACCAGAGATGCTGGGCCTCCTCACCTGAGGACTCGAGCCCCGGGAGAGAGACACCAGAGGCCATGAGGCCTCCCTTACCCTGAGTTCTGTAGCCCCCTGCTCAGATACCTGGCCATCAGTCCTAACCCAGCCAAAGCTGGGAAACCTGAGGCTCAGAGGAGCCAGCGGTACCTAGTCATTTCCCCCAGCACCTCACTGCCATCTGCACTGACTGCCCCAGTGAAGTTCCTCAAGCAGTCAGAGCCACCTTCCATCTCAGGAAACAGCCTGTGGTGGTGGCAGAGAGGAAGACTCAGGAAGGATGCACAGCGCCCCCCCCCCCCACCAGCCATTTATCTTGACCCTTCTCTAGTTGGAAAGCTTCTCAGGAAGACCTGATGTGTTACCAGCATTCCCTCTGGAAGAAGATCTGGCCCTGTAATCTTACCATACTGCCCTGTTCTTACCATTCAGCGCAACTTCCTAAAAAACAAGGGTTTCTCAAGGGCCCAACTCGGGAGGTGCTTGTTGCATCACCACCAAGGAGCACCCTTCATGATCAGGAGCCCAGAACATGGAGCCCCTCCCAGCAGCATGGGCTCTCTACTACATACCTGTTGAGTGATTTTCTTTTTCCTCAGGTTGGAAAAGACCAAAAAAGGAATTTCTCACTACTAAGTGAGCCCTTCGATACTAGTGAAAACTATCAAAGAAACTCCCCCCCCACACACACACACTCCTCCAAAATACTAGGTAGTCAAGATGCTCACTTCCCAGGCATATCCATTGGATTGGGAAGCAGAAAGAGTCTAGGCCCCACCCCCAGGAATCCCTGGTTACTTCTTACTTGGACATCTCCTCCAACTCCCCCTACTTGGGGGTCTTCCTCCAGGACTCGAAGCATTTCGATGGTGCAGGCTGGATCCAGCACAGTGTCAGAGTCACACACCTGTAGAGGGAGTGCATGGTCAGCCCATTTTGATCTTGGGCCTGTGTACACCACATACTGCTCACTGCTTCAGGGACATAAACACCTTTCAAAGGGTTCACTTCCAGCCACTAGTAAAGAGATTTATGCTAAACAGAAGAGGTGAGATGAATAACAAGTAAGGAAAAGGAGAGCTAGGCTGAGAGAGAAACCCTGGAGACTCAGTGTCAGGGACAAATGCTTAGCACTGAGCAAGTTTTTAGCCTTAGAGCCAGGCTCCACAAAAATGGTCTCAGAACGTTTCCCTGGGGGAAAAGGAGGTACACATTGAAATCAGATGTCAGGTACAGTGGCTAGACCCAGGCCAGCAGACACTCCAGGTGAGGTGAAGAAATGGCTCTTGCCAGAGGCTACTGCCCAAAGCCCTCTCAGAGATTAACATGGTATTCCCAGTTTCAGCCTCTGGTCTCCTGGACAACCTGCAGCAAACGTGGAGGATATATCTACCCAGTCATAGGTGCCCCGCTAATATGGCTGTAAGGCCTGAGCTCCTTTGGCTAAGTCTCTAAGGTCAGGGCATGCTATGTCCAAGGGCTGCTCTCACCTGGATTCTCAGGAGCTTGAATCTGGCACCTTAAACCACTTGGCTATCCTGACGTGACACTTGGATCGATTCTGGATGACCATGGAGGCTGGCCACAGCTGCCTCCAACCAGAGCTGAGGTCAAATCCTGCCCCATTGCCCACCTTCCCTAGGGAGGCTCATGGTCTAACAGGTGGCTCCATTATTAGTTGAACCTGAGCTAGGAACACTTACCCTGCTGGCTGACTCCTTGTCTATTTTCTAGGAGACAACTGAGGTGATACAGAGAGCCCAGATAATCACTGGCAGAACAACAGAGCAAAGAACAGTACCCACAGATAAGCCCAAACCTTGTGTTGCACAAGTCCAAAATACTTTTAGTAAAGTTGCTAATGCCTGCAGGAAGGGGGCTGCCCCCCCCACACACAAAAACCTTGCTGGGTTTTCTCTTGCCATTCTGGAAGACATGGTGGCCACAGCCAAGCAGCAGAAGGTTGAAGGGATCCAGGCAGAGCCATCCCACCTGTTCCCTCCTACCTCCCCACCAACACACCTTGGGAGAGGGTGCCTGGAGGGCTTCGGGCCAGACTCCCAGAGCCTCTTCAGCTGACAGGCCAGGCTTTCCAGTGCTGCCAGTCTCAGGGCTACTTCCTGCCCTGACCCTAACCCGTTCCTCATGCTGCTCAGCTTCCTTCACTCCAGGGAGGTCTTTCTAACAGCAGGGTTAGGGAAGTTAAAGCTCTTGGCTGCATGGGTTTCCCCACCGGCTGAAGCAGGGCTATCTCCCTCAGAGGGAAAGACACACCCATAGCAGGACTGTTGGAAGTCAGGCTGAAATCCACCAAATTGAACTGAAGCCCAGGCTGCCCCAGGCAGTGAGCCCAGAGCCATCAAGAGAAAGGCTGGCTCAGGTGTGTGAGCCTATTTGCTGATCCATCAGAATGAATCCACAGGAAATGATCAGTAAAGGAAGAACGTGTGGCAGGTTTTGGGAGTTCTGTGCAGCAAGGGAGGACACAACAGAGTCCCTGTGGCTTGAGCATGTGCCAGAGCTCAAGGGCTTTTCCTCTGCCTTCTGAGTTTCCAGGAAAGCACCAGAGGCCTCTTGACCCTAGATGAACTGCAGAATCAAATGCCTCAACATCCCTCCCTACAAGGCCGAGGAGGTCCTTGGCCCTAGGAAGACAGAAAAAGGTCAATGTACCAATTCACTTGAGGATGCAACTTCCAAAAAAGCCAAAAACCAAACATCTGTGGCAAGCTAATTTTAGGTGGGTACAGTAGAGAACATTTCAATATTGGTGTACTCAACACATGCTCAGCAAGACTGAGCTGGTACGCAGGTGGGCTGCCATGACACCTGCTATTCACTCAAGTGCTGGGCAAAATCCTCTGGCATGTGTGGAGAAGGAATCCAACAGAAAAATGGACATGTGGATGCTGGACCGGAAATCTGGGGTTCTGGGTGCAGTTTCTACTTGGTACTTAAGTGTGTGAGCTTTTCATCAGTTCCTTCTAGGTTCTGTTATTTGAAAATTGGGAGCTGTGTTAACTGTGCCAACCTAATAAAATTTCCAGCCGGGTGTCAGTGACCTTTTTGACTGGAAGCTGGGCAGGATCTGGTCAGGGTCCTAGCCCTGCCAAGACTGCTGCAGAATTAAGCTGGGGGATGAGTCACTGCTGTGACTTCCCCCCACTTCACAAACACCACTTTGACATTGGGTAGAGTAGGGCTCTCTGGCCCGTAACTAAAACAATAGTTGAGTACTTTGGAGCATGATTTGTTTTGCTCTTCACCACACCTCCTTATGGAGAGATTCATCCCCACGTTACCAATGCTGAGGCACAGTGGATACAGGCAGACTGCCTAGGCTCAAATCTCATCTCTGCACCTTACTGCTGTGTGACATTAGGCAAGTTACTTAACTTCTCGGGGCTTCAGTTTCACCTTCTATGAGTGGCAATAGTAACAATATTTATCCTCTAGCAGTATTACGAGGGTTAAAAGAACTAGTATGGGGGTGCCTGGGTGGCTCAGTTGGTCAAGCGACTGCCTTTGGCTCGGGTCATGATCCCGGAGTCCTGGGATCGAGCCCCACATCGGGCTCCCTGCTCGGCTGGAAGCCTGCTTCTCCCTCTCCCATTCCCCCTGCTTGTGTTCCCTCTCACGCTGTCTCTCTCTCTCTCTCAATTAAATAAAATCTTTTAAAATAAATAAAAGAACCAGTATGTAGGGGCGCCTGGGTGGCTTAGTCGGTTGAGCGTCTGCCTTCGGCTCAGGTCACGATCCCAGGGTCCTGAGATCGAGTCCTGCATCGGGCACCCTGCTCAGCAGGGAGCCTGCTTCTCCCTCTGCCCGCCGCTCCCCCTGCTTGTGCTCTCTCTCTCTCTCCCTCTGACAGATAAAATCTTTAAAAAAAATGTGTGTATGAAGCGCCTACATGGGGGGGGTGTGGTATGAATTAAGTGCTATCCGCTTGTTAGCTCTTACTAGTATTGGCACACCAGTCCAGAGGCCCGCCCTCAATCACAGAGCTAAGTAGGAGAAGAACCAGGATTACATCCCTGGGCTTTATGACCCCAGGACTGCTGTTCGGAGTAGCAGTTACCTCATTGCCTTCTGAAGTTCAGAGGAAGGATGTACACAACACAGGCGACCTTAACCGGACCTAAAATTCCTACCCAGTATGTCCAGCCGCCTGGATATGTCCACACGGCCGCACATTCCTGGTAAAGGCGCGCTTACCTGGATGTAGTCCACTGAATCGCCAAGAGCCTTGAAAGCCGTGTACATGACCTCTCGCTTGCCTCCCCATTTCTGCATGATGCACGAAAAGGTGCTGGTTCGCACCACATCCCGCACGCGGTCCATGCCCTCCTGCAGGCTGGCCTCCGTCTCCCCCTCCCCCGCCTCATGGAAGTTGCTGCGCCACACAAAGAAGCCAGCTTGCTCAGTGCCGCCTAGCACCTCGTGGAAGATATCCAGCATGTAGGCGTCCTCCTGGCGATTGCCATCCACCACCATGACCACCTTGAGGTCAGGGAATGCGATGCGCTGGGCTGAGCGCAGGCACTTGCGCAGATAGTCGGGGTCCTCCTGGTAGGCAGCAATGCAGAGTGCCACCGAGCGCCGCGACGGGGCAGCGGGGACTTTGAGCGGCCAGCCTGCCTGCCGCATCCGCCGGTGCTCCAGGAAGGCAAACAGGCTCTGGATGAGCAGGTGCAGGCCCAGGATGGCCCCGTACAGGCCAAAGGACAGGTAGTGCTTTTCTGTGTGAATGAACTGGTAGCCTGTCACGTAAGCTGCCAGGATGCCACCCAGCACCGCCAGGGCAAACAGGCTGGTGCCCACCACACGCAGGGCTGTCGTCAGCTGCACCGGCATCTGGTGGGAGACGGAGGGAGGTGTGGAGTCAGGAGGCAGTCAGTGGGAGTGGGGGCGTTTTCTCGGGCAGGCCCAGAACAGGGAAATGAGCCACTCATCAAAACCATTGCCCCTGACTGAGCATGACTACGACCCGTGTGTATACTCAGAAGCCAGGCCCCTGGGGTTTGAATCCCAGCTCCGCCGCTTCCTCTCTGTGGGACTCTGCCCTGCCCCTTGGTTCATTCATCTGTGACACGTGGACTGCAGCAATAACCTTGTAGCATCTTTGAGGGTGAATTGGATTACATATGTAAAGCAGTTCGAGTAGCATTTATTCTTGTTAGACAAACCAAAGCCAGAAAGAGCTCTGTGATGCCCACCTGGTGGATGGTGGTCCTGGGATCTGCCTGACCCAAAGCTCGTCTAGGCAACCTTCAGGAGGGGTGAGCCAGAGGCAGCCCTGAGCAGGCGAGGGGCCCGGGAGGGAGGATGACCAGGGAGGCAGCCAGAGGCCAAGAGCTTCTACCCGCCCTGTACCCACCAGGGCCTCGTGCAGAGTGAGGGGAAGTAAAACACGGCCACCCATGAGGCCCGCGAACAAAGTGGGGGAGGAAAAGATGAGAAACAGCAGGAAACATAAAGAGGTGGGGGGGGCAACTTCTCGCTCTTGAAACAGCAAAATCAGTAAAAGTTTCCCTGTGGGGCGCCTGGGTGGCTCAGTCATTAGGCGTCTGCCTTCGGCTCAGGTCATGGTCCCAGGGTCCTGGGATCAAGCCCCGCATCGGGCTCCCTGCTCCGCGGGAAGCCTGCTTCTCCCTCTCCCACTCCCCCTGCTTGTGTTCCCTCTCTCGCTGTGTCTCTCTCAGTCAAATAAAATCTTAAAAAAAAAAAAAAAAGTTTCCCTGTGTTCTCTGCTGTCTCACCGTTTTCTCATCTACCGGAGAGGCAGGAAAGAAAGGGAAAGCAACTGGGAAAAGCAGACCAGGAAAAAGAGGAAATGAGAGCTGGGGTGTGGACAGCTCTCCTGGAAGCCCAGCAGTCGGTCGGGGCGCCAGAGGGAACTGCAGCCACCACTGCAGCAGCCTGGGAGGGCTGGCTGCCCGCAAAGCCCCATCCACTTGGTCCTAGTGCCCGCATGGCACCTCCGTGCTCGTCCGCCGGCCCTGCCACCCCTTCTGCCCTAAGTCCGGGCTCCCAGCAGCTGCCCTGTCGGCAACATCTGGGTTTTAATGAAAACAGCTTAGCACTCAGCACGGAAGACTTGTGCTTGAGACACAGCTCTACCACCTCCTGGCTGCCTGACCTTGCCCAAGTGAGACTTGGGGTCCCCCAAGGGGGGGTTCTAATGGTTTCTTGCTCCATAGGTCTCAGGTAAATAAGTTCCCGGAAATTAGCACTTCCTGCCCTGAAGGATGACCCAGGTGGGAAGGCTGATTGGGGAAGAGAGGAGGGGCTGATGAGGACAGCTCCCCACTCCTCATTCTGACCCACGCCTTCCCATCTCCTCTCTTTGCCACCTGCCTGATCTGGAGAATCCCATTTCCAACACCACCCACCCACCCACCCTCTACAGACCACGGGGTCTCGCTTCCAAGCTTGCTCCAACTCTAGGTCTTACTGGAACCAACCCTTGAGCCCCACTCCAACACAAATGCACCTTCATGTGAGGGGAACAGTGCCTGTTCCCCTGCCACCTGCCACATAGGATGGGTGAGGAACACGCGGTCATTGCCTAAGTCCGTCTAGATTCAGGCACCAACAGCATTCCAGCAGCTGCGGTCCAGAAAGTGCTGTTGGCAGCCTTGCAGCTTCGGGAAGCTCGGCCTCTAGGCGCTGTACCCCGCCATTCTGGGAGCCTGCTTCCTCGGCAGGACTCCCAGCCTTCCCCGGTACCCCCGCCCCATGCGCCTGCGGCTCAGGGGCCCCAAAGCCCTGCACCCACTCCAGGAGCACCGCCCCCCCCCCCCCCCGCCCCGTAGCCCTCTAGACCTTACACGCCAAAGGGGCGCCGCTGGGCACCACTGCCCACCTGCGCTCTGGGAGAGGGCCGGGGGCGCCGAGGCCAGCCCGGCAACCTGCCGGGTGCTGGCGCCCCGCCTCGGTGCAATGCCGGAGGCGGTGCCCACCAGGTTAATGCAGCCGGGAAGGCACTCGCCAGGCTTCTCACCCCCGCCTGAGCCTCGCCTTCTGGCAAAGGCGGCGCCGGCCACACCCACGTGCCGGTTTCCCACGACTCAGCGGGGAAGGAACGGAAAACCCGAGGAATCAGTCGGACCAGGCCCCGCTCATCTCCTCTGGGCCCCAGCTACCTTGGCAAAGTGTGCCTGCAGACAAAGGCAGCATCTCCGGTGTCGCCGGCCCCTTCCTCTCGCGGGCAGGACCCCCAAATCCCGCACACGAATTGGAGGCACTACCCTGGCACCCCGTACCCCACCGAGGACCAAAAATGTCCCGCAGCCAAAACCCCACGAGCAATTAGGTGCTGGTGCGGGCTCTGGCAGAGGCGCCCCTGCCCAGATAGGGGGCCTGCCACCTCAAGCGGGGAGAGGGGAGCCTCGACCACCTCTCACCCACCCCCATTTCGTTCAGATGGAATCCTCTAGAGCTCGGAACCCGTAGGCTAAAGCGCACCCGGCTTCAAGGGAACTAGGTTGGGGGGCGCTCCCTAAGACACCTCCCCCCAGATGACTGAAGGAGAAAACCCTCGGCCAAGGACGCACGCCGCCAATCTATACCCGAAACTTTGTAGGGCTGCCGGTGTGCGGCCTCTACAGCTGACAGGTGTGCCCTGCTACGGGACCCACACGCGGCGGGATGGGAAACTTGCGCGCGGGGTTGGGGCTTTTTCCCTTGCGCCTGGCCGCCCGGCCGCCCTCCCGGCCCCTCCGAGCCGGCTGGGGAAGGGGAGGTAGGGCCCGCAGACACAGGCGGCCGTGGCCCGGCTGACCCGCAGGGCCCACAGCGCCCGGCATCCTGGTGCGGGACAGGTGCGAACCCCCCAGCAGGAGTGGGGGAGGGAGAGACTCCCACCAGCCTCGTGCCCCGCACCGTCGTCCGCCCCCTAATCCATTCACAAAACAGAAGCCGCAAGGGAGGAAGGGAGGAGAGGATGGAGGAAGAAAGGGAGGAGGGGTCAGTGGGGAAGGGGCTGCAGGAACCACCGCCGGGAAGCCTGGGGACACTGCAGCCCTCAGCCGGCCTCCCGGCGCCGGTCGCAGCGCCCGCACAGGGCGGGGGGAGGGGGGTAGCAGGGGAGGCGGTGGGGGTCCGCCAGGCTCGGCCAGCGGCACCCCTGGAGCTCGGCGCAGCCCCCGCGCGGCGCGGCCCGCCCCTCCGATGTGGCCGGCTGGCCGGGCCCGCGCTCACCGTGCCGCCGGCTGCCCGCGCTCCGGTGCTCAGCAGGCCCGCGGCGGCTCCATGCCCCTCCTCCAGCTCCTCGCCGCCGCCGCGCCTCTCTCTCTCCCCGGTGCGCCGCCGCCGCCGCGCGCTCCGACTGACGAGCGCCGGCCCCACGGAGCCGCCTTTAAGTACCGAGCGCGTCCCCGCCGGGAGAGGCGCCCTCCTCCGGCCCTAGGGCCGGGAAAGTTGGGAAGAGTGGGAGGGCTCCCCCGAGGGCTGCGAGGAGCACCCCCTTATTGGCTCAGTCGGAGGGAGATACACGCGGCCGGCGCTCGGCGGGACGCCGGGTCCCCGCATGCATGCGGCTCCAGCCTCGGTCTCTGCGCCCTGGAAGGTGGGTTCTCCCACGGCGGCCAGAGGCCGAGCTCCTCCGCGCTCGCCCCGGGGCCAGCTGCCCAGGAGGAGGCGATCATTGTGCTCAACCCAGAACCCGAAGCGTTGTTAACTTTCAGTATAACCCCTAGCGACTTCCAAAACTGTTAACTCTCCATTCCGCCTCCCCCGCGCCCGGCTTTCTAAGCCTCGCAATCTACTCACTCTGCAAAACCGCCGAGGCGATGGAAATCTTCCCCCGACTGCGGCACGCCGAGGGGCTGTTCGCTGTATAGGGTACTCCCTAAAACAGAGACAGCAGAACCTTCCTGCCGGCAAAAAGAAGAGGCGCAGAAGAGAATAATTATCAAATATAAAAAGACTGTTCAAAGAAGGTGTTAACAATTGTGACAAGCTTAGCTTTGGATTCCGCAGTGGGGCGCTGATGACTTTGAGGGTTTGCAAAAGCTCCAAATGGTTTTGCAGGAACCTTGGAAGTTCCGGTGTCTTAAAGCCGAAACCAATTCCTCCTCCCCTTTTCTTACACCTTTATTTCCGACATCCACAACCTCCTAAATTCCCAACTGACCTTATAGCCAGTGGTTTCCAGGTCCCCAAAAGCTGGTGCTGGACTTGGATGAGATGGGGTGGGGTCAAGGAGAGGTGGGGAGTTGTTAGCAGAGGAAGTTTAGAACCAGTTGAATTAGAACCCGATTTCTAAATCTCGGAAAAGCTTAAAGAGATCAAATTAAAGACTAGTTAAAAAAAAAAAAGTGAATTTACATGTCCTCCAAACACACCTGAGATAATTTCCATCACTTCTTCCCAAGCTGCAACAAATTTATAGCAACATTAGTTGCAGTCTACAAGCTGCTTCTCTTAGAAATCTTAGGGGCCTCGGGCGCCTGGGTGGCTCAGCCGGTTAAGCGTCTGCCTTGGACTCAAGTCATGATCCGCGGCTCTGGGATTGAGCCCCGCTTTGGGCTCCCTGCTGAGCGGGGAATCTGCTTCTCCGGCTCCCTCTCCCCCTCTGCCCCTCCCCCTGCTCATGTGCTCACGCACTCGTGCTCTAATAAATAAAATCTTAAAAAAAAAATAAACGTCCGTAATGCATTGGAGACAAGGCATTTTTCATTGACACTGATCTCTGAATAGAATTCTGGTCACTGAGGATCACATCCCGGAGGGATGAGCTTGTAGAATCCAGAACAGATGCTGTTCTCTGGTTGAGGATAACTGGAGTTAACTTTCACTGAGCACCTGCTCCCAGCCAATCTCTTCAATTCTTGTAACGACCCTGTCAAATACTGAGTCCCATTTCTGGGAGGAAGATACTGAGGTTAGTGCCACACAGCTAGTGGCAGAACTGACTCCAAAGTCTTCCTCTTAACCAAAGGCTCCTCTCTCCACCCATGCATTATTCGCTCTTCTTAGGGCCTGTCTCAAGTTCAAAACATATTCCCATTGTGGATTCAATACTAGTTTTTAAAAACACACAAAAAAAGAAAATTTAAACCATGTAGCATATTGGTGATGATTTTCTCAAGCCAAAGTGTGAAATGATTTGGTTTCTGTAAAGCAAGATGGAATGGGGTGGAGTGGGTGTCTTTGTTTGCCTGGGGGACCCAGCAATGAGCATGAGTGAGGGTGGGCAGGAAAGTCCCTGAGCCCCTAAGATTTCTTTCTTTCTTTCTTTCTTTTTTAAGATTTTACTTATTAGAGAGAGCGCACGAGCTCAATCCCAGGACCCCAGAAACATGACCTGAGCCGAAATCAAGTCACACACTTAACCAACTGAGCCACCAAGGCGCCCCAGAAATCCAGATTTTTATGTGAAATCTAATTTTTAAGTGTTGGCAACTAATTCAAATGTTGGAAAAAACAAAAACAGTCCACAGGCCAGGCAAAATGTGTCTGTGAGTCACATACAGCCAACTGGCTGCTTGTAAGTGACCTGTTTAGAAGCTGAGGGAATGGAGCAGCCAGTTTGGAAAGATCCTGTCTGCCCTCAACACAACAGCAGCCTGACTTCACTGGGAGCAAGTTTCCTGGGCTGTTCCAGGACCATCTCATGCCTAGTTAATTTCCAAGACTTCAACTCTGTCCCATGGGCTTATTGCTAGCTCACTCAGTTGGCTCCAGGGAGTTTTACAGGTGGTGGGCTAGTCAATTAAAAACTCCTAAATGAACAGCAGGTCCAGATGCAACATCATGAGAACAGTAAACACTCTGCCCATACCAATTGGCTTGGCCCCCTGAATGGCTTTCCCTGAGAAGCAAATTCTTTTTCTGATCTGCAGGGCCAGAGACCCTGTGTTATCAGGCAGCAAGGAGCATCTTCACCTTTGTGGCCAGCCTGTGCCAGGGAGGATTTGCCTGTAATTAACATCCAGTTTGCAGTGCCCTATTTGCATTCATCTCTTGGAGGGGAGAAGGGTAAGGGAATCTTTAAGGGGCTGATATAATAAAGCTCAAGTTTATCTCTGCTTACCACTGGGGATTTAAGAATAGGACTATTTCCACACTCAATCACATAGAAAAGTGAATTCAGATGTTGCTGAATTGGCTTTTATGTGGGTTCCAAAGAATAGGCCTCCCTATTCAGCTCAGTAGTAGAAAATGCATGCTGCATTTCAACATTCATTTGACAGTGAAGACCAGCCCTAAGAAAGGAATGATGCTTTGGCACCAAGAAGTGTCAGGCTGGTCCCTGCCATCTAGACAGTTACCTATTTTGAAGACAAATACACTTGAAAAGTGGTCAATTGGGCACCTGGGTGGCTCAGTCATTAGGCGTCTGCCTTCGGCTCAGGCATGATCCCAAGGTCCTAGGATCGAGCCCCACATCGGGCTCCCTGCTCCACGGGAAGCCTGCTTCTCCCTCTCCCACTCCCCCTGCTTGTGTTCCCCCTCTCGCTGTATTTGTTTCTGTCAAATGAATAAATAAAATCTTAAAAAAAAAGTGGTCACCATTCAAGGCAATTTATAATTAGATGTTGATGAGAGAATCCAACTAGAAGAGTTTGAGGATTTCAGGAAAGAGATTATCTGTGAGCTGGAATGGTCTGAGCAGAGTTTGTAGAAAGACAAGAACATTCTAGATGGGAAGAAGAGCTTAAGAACAAGAGTAGGTGGGGCGCCTGGGTGGCTCAGTTGGTTAAGCAACTGCCTTCGGCTCAGGTCATGATCCTGGAGTCCCGGGATCGAGTCCCGCATCGGGCTCCCTGCTCAGTGGGGAGTCTGCTTCTCCCTCTGACCCT